AACATATGTAAGTCTTAAATTATAGATGAGAATCTGAGGCTTAGAGTTTAGCAGGGCAAGTAACTGATTCTGAAGTGGGTACTTGCCTTCGCGTACTGTCTACACAATGGTGTTAGAAGAACGACGTGCTGTGTTAACTTTCTGTTTATTATTTTTTTATTATTATTTTTTTTGGTATCATTAATCTACAATTACGTGAGGAACATTGTGTTTGGTAGACTTCACCCATCACCAAGTCCCCCCCACAAACCCCATTACAGTCACTGTCCATCAGCGTAGTAAGATGCTGTAGAATCACTACTTGCCTTCTTTCGTGTATGTGTTTTGTCTCCCTTGGAAAGCTAAGATCTAGAGGCTTGGTTATAATACGCTCCTCAGGAGAGCTAGAACTGGCTGAGATTCTGTGCCAACAACTGTATTCTTTTCCTTGACCCTCTTCTTCTCCTTGTCACCATCCTTAACCCAAATATTCAATCTGTTTTGTTTTGACTGGAACTCTTTCCCTATCTTGGGCTTAGTTCCTCTTTATGAGTCTTTCTTGGAGAAGGAGAAAGGGAAAGATGGGTGTTGTCCTGGAGGATGACATGGGGACAGAAGAGGGCAAAAAGGGGAAATGAGTGGAAAACTGTGCTGAGGATGGAGGAGGAGCCAACAAAGGAAGGATGTCTCAGAAACTAACACACATTATCACAAACTCAGTGTACATTCTTCACTGCTGACCCTTTACTGACCTGACTCCACCCCCGAGGGGCACAGCTCACCCTTGACCAATGACTTCAAAGTACTGGGATAGGAACGAGGGGCCAGAAGTTCAGCAGTAAAGAATAAAAGGCCACACTGTTCAGCAGCAGGTCATACCTGCTTCTGACACTTCTGTGATCACCTGTACGCTCCCAGACCTGTCATCATGGTGCATTTCTCTGGGGAGGAGAAGGCTGCCATCACTAGCCTGTGGAGCAAAGTGGATGTGGAGGAGGCTGGAGGCCAGGCCCTGGGCAGGTAAGAGTTGGGTTTCAGTGCATGGGAGAGGACAGTGAATATGAGTCTGACAAATTGACCAGGGAATTCCTCAAGATTCTCGAGACTGTCTGATTTTCCACCTGCTCTGATTCCATCCCACAGGCTCCTGGTCGTCTACCCCTGGACTCAGAGGTTCTTTGACAATTTTGGCAATCTCTCCTCTTCCTCTGCTATAATGGGCAATCCCAAGGTCAAATCCCACGGCAAGAAGGTGCTGACCTCCTTTGGAGATGCTATTAAGAACTTGGACAACCTGAAGAACACCTTTGCTAAGCTGAGTGAGCTGCACTGTGACAAGCTTCACGTGGATCCTGAGAACTTCAGGGTGAGTCCAGGAAATGTTCATGTGCTCGTTTTTGCTTTCTGCTTTGGGATAATAATAGAAGTTGAGTTGTTTGTTGGAAAGACTAACAAAGATTTCAAAAATTAGGGGTCCAACTTAGTGTTAAAAGGGCAAAAATTCAGTGGGCATAACTGAGACCACCTTGATTCAGGATTAGTGACAGTAAAAAGGGCTACTAGCAACCTGAGTTTGCTTAACTTTTCAGGAACTTTTGCCAAAACTGGTTGTATTTATCCTACATAATAACATCAAAGAGCAGCAGGCTTCATCAGAGAGCAGAGAGAGAAAGCAATTTGGCTCTTGGTAGATGAAGTCCTGTCTCAAGGAAGCAGAGTGCCTTATTTTATGTGGTCCTTGATGACAGAATATTAGGAAGAGATTTGGGGAAAAATCTTTAGAAAGATTGTCTCAAATAAAAATACAACTTCCCTGAAGTATATGAAATTACCTGTCAGCCTTGTGAGAAAGTGGAAGTTTGTCCCTACATTGGTTGGAGAGTTTACAGTCCCTCTGAGAACCCATGTGGCTCTGAAATCCTATGATCACAAGAATTAGACAATTGGTAAGAGAGGTTGGAAGAGATGCAAATACAAATGGTGAAATGTGAGAGAAGGTGGGGATATATGTAGGCAGAATGTCAAATGAAGGACTCATAAAAATAAATTGACTTTAGGAACTAGCTTATCTGAGTTTAATGGGTAAGCACAACCATCGTAGTAGTTCAAGGGCAGAACTGACGAGGAGTGTAATTATGAAGCTATTTTTTTAAGCAGTTCTTTTTGGAAACTTCTACTCAACATGCCTGTCCTTTTGTCTTTCACTTAACAGCTCCTGGGCAATGTGCTGGTGGTTGTTCTGGCTTCTCACTTCGGCAGGGAATTCACCCCTGATGTGCAGGCTTCCTGGCAGAAGCTGGTAGCTGGTGTTGCCAATGCCCTGGCCCACAAGTACCACTGAGTCCTCTGTCCAGCTCGCCAGTACCCTTCTGTGTCCCCAACATCCTCCTTCTTACATGGGCACTGGGGTTTGGCCTTGAAAGAAGTTTCTCTTTAATAAAGTACATTCTATTCAATCACCAAAAATTGCTATTTTATCTTCTTCATCTTTTATTCTTGTGTTAAAGAAGAGAAAGTTTATTGGCTGAGGGGTGGGAAGAGTTACAGGAAGGAACAAAAGCTCCTTTGAGAAGTGTGTGGGAACTCATCAAAGGAAGGTGGACATTATGGGAAGATTCCAGAGGGTCTGGAGGATGCCAAGATGGGGAAGAAATTCTCTGGGGTGGAGAAAAGGCTACTTAAATGGGTAGGGCCTTACAGGGATGTGTGGCAAAGAATTACTGTAGAAGGGAAGGAAGGAAGGGTAAGTAGTGCTTGAAAAAAAGCAAAGTAGACTTGTGGTATATGTCAGAATTGAGTTTTAAAAACAAAGTTTTGTAGGGATCCAAGTTCTAGGCTAGGTTTACTATTTCAGTTACTCTAATGTGTGTTTTGAATCAATTTACTTGTCATATGTCTTGTGAAATTGAATTGGACATGAGAGCATGAACTGAGAGATGGCTGGGAGCTTTCCATAATAACCTCTGTGAACCAACAATAGTCTGCTCCTTCCTGAAGGTTTCCACTGTTTTACCAGGGAGCTAAGGCTAAGAGATGAAATCATGGTGCGTTACCTTCTGATTGAACATGGCATGCACTAATATAAAGTTAGAGTTAGGATATTGTGTGAATTTCTGGGGGAAGAATGACCAAGATCTCATGAAGGAGGGAAGATACTAACAAAGGCTCACAGTCTAAAACCGGTAAGCTGAGCTTGCTGACTTGTATGAAAATGTTTCCCTGGATGTAGAGGAGAGACAAAGACATAGGTGGAGTTTTAGGAAGAACTAGATCATGCAAGCTCTTCAATATAAAAATAAAGGTATTACTATGCAATGGGAAAAAGTGAATAATATATTCTTAGAACTTTAAATGACTCAAAGAATAGGATTGGGGGAAAAGCAATCTGATTAATGTATACTATACAAAATGAATTGAAAATTGCAAAGGTTAAACATGGTTGCTAATTCAGGGGAACTGAGATAATGGCTAAACCCAAGAAAAAGAGTGAGATCTGCAAGAACTGAAGGATGAGCAAACGTAGAATGAGGAGGACATAGTATCAAATTAGCTGGGGTGGATTATAAGGCTAGATGTGGCAGCAGGTGACTGAAAGCACCCAGCCTGGGTGAATTTACCAAGAAGATGCCATGTACTGACCTGGGCACCCTCCTGTGGTAACAGCATTAACTAATAACTCTTGAAGGAGTCATTGCTAGGTTGCTTAGGGAGTTTTGACCTTAAGGCCTTGAGTCAAACTCTCACATTAAGTCTTGAGACCTTCATACTTTAGAAGTTGGAGTGCCATATTTTGGAAAAATTGACTCTGTTATGCATTTTATTGTCCACATACATTGTGTTAGAGTCTGTACTATGAGTTACCTTCTAATTTGGCCTCATATGTCTACAATAGGGATGAGAGAACAGTGATTATCATAGTTTCAGGCTGTCACCAGCCCTGATTTCTCTGAGCCTGATAGCCTCTCAATACGCCCTATAGCAGAGTAAACAGAAGCTATTCATGGCACTAAACCTTTTACCCCAGCAGGCAACCAGTCACTCAGTCAGCATGTGAGAGCAATGGGCATTTTTGAAATGGTGCTATTATCATAATTAAATTTTTCTGATAGTGTTTTACTCCTCACCTCTAAGACAATCTAAAAGAAATCAAGCATGTGCTGCCTCTGTAACATGACCTCTGGCCACACTATACTATTTACCTATAAATCCCATGACCCACTATTTATCTCTCTAACATGCCAAGTATGTTGTGTGTGTGTGTGTGTGTGTGTGTGTGTATGTGTATGTTTTCCTGCCTTAGAGCTTTGCGTTTGCCATTCCAATTTCCAGTAGCTTACTTTCCTAATATCTTCCATGGCAGACATCTTCATGTCATTATGGCCCCAGCTCAAATATTATCCTCTTAAAGAAATCATTACTTATATAACTGTGTCTCATTAACACCAAGATACTAATTTTCCCCACAGAAAATAATAATAGATGAATGTTTTTGCTGACTGATTTACCTGTTCATTCTACTTATCTCCTACTCTATAGGATATATAATCCCAGAAAACCATTTTCCTTCTTTGGATTGTTTTTCTTAAATCACCAGTACATAGAATAACTGATGGTGCATAGTAGCTCAATGTATTTGTTGAAAGAATATTTGAAAAAGACCTTCTATGACTTTTGTGAAGAACCAGCTTATAGATGAGAAGTTTGGCAACAACAGAGGGAGCGACCAGGAAGGTGAGGGAGGGCGGAGCAGCTATGGATAAGGAGGACCCAAGAAGCCTCTGAAGGAGGTTGACTTGGAAGCAAGGAGAAAAGCAGTGATTATGGATGATCTTTACAATCACTCTTTGGGTTTCTGGGAACTCAGGAGGTTGTTTACGGACATAAGGGATCACAGAAGTCCCTCAGCTTGAAGGAGGGTGATTAAGAATCACATTCATTGCTGAGGCTTTCTGAGGCGTGGGCACCAGCTTCTAAGTCATCCCCTTGGGAAAGGCTGACCACTGAATCCATCAGATGTTGTCAAATATCTGTCTACACTTATCTCATGGGGCTCTGCTTAAAGAAACTCTAAATCGAGTTCCCCTCGTTCTCTGTACCCTGTACCTTTATTCCAGTAAGAATGCCCTTATCCCATCCTTAAGGGTGTGAGAACTCTCAAAATTTCTGGTTACAACATAGCTATTGAGATGTTGACAAATTTTATCTACCTAGCCTTTAAGCTTTTCTGAATCTCCATCAGTGAACAGAAATAGGCTCCACATGAGGTTATAAGGACAGAAAATATTTAACTTGAAATACTCCCATTTCAGGCATCTGATATGGTAGGAGAAAAGTAATTTGAAGATTGAGATTCCCTCTAATCGTATTCATTAGGTACCTTCTTAATCTGCATTTTTATTTGATTAGCAGGTCTCTAGTGCCACAGCCAAATAAACTGGATTTCTAAAGTTTCAGGGCTCCTGGTCAGGTAATATCTAACATCATGCATCATGAAAAAAAGAGAAAAAAAGAGCATGAACTCTGTCATTTTGGAAGTGTATCTGTCAAAAACTGTAGTGGGTTAGAGATAAAGTTGACTCTAAAGTGCAGTGATGTACCAACTATGACTTTGGACTATTAGTTAAAGAACAAAAAAACTTCTCTCCCTTTAGAGTTATTTTACAAGCACATGAAAGAAAGCAAAGAAGATGCTTCCTGATGTTAATTTTTGGACTAAGACCAGCTGAAAAGCGGACCCTCCGTTGATCAGAGACAAATCCAAGTCCACACTCTTCTACCAAGGGACCTTCCATCATCACCTTCACTGAGATGGAAGAGCTACACTGACCCCAAAGACCTGGGCCGTCAGCCAAAACACACATTGTGCAGTGAGGTAAAGGATTTTCCCCAGAGAAGAAATTTGTTGTGCTTTACACAGGCACATAGGTAATGAGGTGCCTGTAGTTTGTCCCCTAACCTCACATCTTGCCATTGAATGGATGCTTTTTGGGAACCATTTCTCCTTGGCTACTGGGGATAGAAGGGCTCATGGTCCAAATTTGACCCTCAGAGAGGTCTATTCACAGATCAGTGTGCACTTTTCCAGTGGAAATCTCTCCTGACTGAATGAGATTTACACTGAATTCAATACAGCTCCTGTAGTGGTAATCAAAGAAACCTGAAATCCCTGAAATTTTCAGATTCTTGCTTGAGCTTCAGCTTTAAGCACATACCTGAAAATAGCAGCAAAAATCAGAGGGAAGGTTGGCAAAGAGTACTGCAGTTTTCTATGGTCGGACGGACTCAGAGTAGCTAGAAGAAAGAGTGAGTAGGGGAATCTTGCATAATAGAGTTGAACAAGGAAAGGCATACAAACAGCACATATTCATCAAGGGGGGATCTGAGACACTATCACAGATGCATATTTCTGCAATAACTCTTCTCTGCCTAAATGCCACAACTGTATTCAGAGTTCAGCCTTAATCAATAGCCTCATGGAATCAGGTAAAGCAAGGGGCCCATGATTCAGGGATGAAGAATAAAAGGCCAAACATTCCAACAGTAGGGCGTACCTATTTCTGACACATCTGTGATCACCTGAAAGCTCAGACCAGACACCATGGCTCACTTCAAAGCTGAGCACAAGGAAGCCTTGTGGGTCCATCACAAGCCTGTGGTTCAAGGAGAATAAAAAAGAGGTAGGAGGCTAAGCCCTGGCAGACAGGTTCTTGGGTCCAGAGCAGAGGTGGAAAGAAAGGAAGCTAAGCCTGGCAGGCATCCAGTCAGTTCTCATATGACAAGTTCTAACTTCCTGTCTGCAATGGTCCCATCACATAAGGACCATTCTGGTCATCTATCCCAGAACAGGAGGCTCTTTGACAACTCTGGAAACATTTCTTCTGCCTCTGCCAGCATGAGAAACTCCAAGGGACGTTCCATGGCAGGATGAGTTCAGGGACACCTTTGTCCAGTTGAGTGAGTTCCACTGTGACAGGCTGTGAGTAGGTCCTGGGAACTTCAGGGTGAACCCAGGAAACAGTCTTGTCCTCTTGCTTTTAACTTTGGAACAACTTAGATAACTGAGCACTGACCTGACTAAAACCAAGACGGCTGTGGGAAGTGAAATGCTTGGAAATACTGGAGTCGAGAGGAAAGCAACTGCAGAGGACTGAACTAAGGGCCTGATGTATAGGGCCTAAGGAGTGCTTCTAGAAGTCTAGGGGGACTTGTTTGAACTCTACTGGCTTTTAAAAGAGACATAGAAACATGCAGGAAAGTGACTATTGGTAATTGCTTGGAAGGAACTTTGGTTTTTACTTTTTATCTTTCACTTTTTCTCTTCTGGGAGGCAGAAAAGAATGGACAAGA